ACATATACGTGCAAGTACATTTATTTATTTCTTTTCTTTCATTTTAAAATGGATCTCCGACGCAGCAACCTCCCCGTGGTGAGATCCGGTAACCGATATTGCTTACGGTGTCCATAGAATTTGTATGGTGCAACGTAAGCACTGTCGGGCCAATGGCTGACGTTCGATGCATTAGAAAATTTTAACTTCTCGTTTTATTAATTAATTCTAATGCAAATGAAATGATATATTAAATTAATTATTTAATCACGCGTTGCAATTGTTGTTTCAATTTTATTCATTTAAATTAATTTTATATTTCTTATGGTATATTAAATTCAAATTTTTCAAAGTACGCTGGCGCCTTGAATTTGTAATTGCGCATGCGTACAACATATCTCCCATTCATGACGTCGCCATTTCATATTTATTCAAAGTGTAATAATTATTTTCAATTAATTAACGATAAATACAAAATATTTGATAAAATAAAGTTGAGCAAATAGTCAGCAATTAAGAGCACTTATTCATTTTTTTCTGCTATTAAGGTGCCCGGCCAACATTTCTACAGTAAAATCTTATTTTCAATTACCATTTATCGACTCGCAATAAATTACTTTTTTCAACATACGAGTTCCTGGACTATTTATTGTATTCGGAGACAAACTTATTGCATTATAATTAATTAATTAGACTTTAGAATCCAACCGTACAACAACACTTTATTATATTCTTATAAATTCTTACCTTATATCATACCAATATGAGAATTAACGATGATATGAATTCTTTTCACACTTTCCTTAACGCTATTATAATTTTCTTTTTGTTCTTTTTAAATATTATTAATAATTACGTTATTATATTATTCGCCGTTGAATTTAATCTGACACGAACAACCATGCGGGAACCAAAAAACATCGGTGTAAAGTCGATTACCAGTACCTTCTAAGGCAACCAATCTCTTTTGTACGAACTGTTGTTCACATGTACTCGTATATCCAAGAGGGACAGAGCATATACCATTACATGTTTTTGTCCTATGAAAATTAATTCGAAGTGTCATTGCTTGTAAATTATTGCAAGAACAAAAAATTCAATTGAAAATCTACTTACAAACACTTTTCACTTTTGACTAATTGCGAGTACTTTTCGTTTTGTTCTAAAATATTAACAACGTACATCCAGTTACCCCGATTGTTAAGTGCAGCCCTTGGTGCGATGTACTGAGCTTCGGTTGGACAAAGAGTAATAGTATCGATATCTGTTTGCCTCTTTCTTCGTTTTGTTTTCAAATTTACATACTGTAAAAGCGGATTCTCGTGGAACGTTCGTGGTGTTACTTTATTGTTACGTGCATACCTAAATCGAAATAAAAACTGATAATAAAATAATCGATTTTTAAAAAATATTAATATCCAAAATATCTTACCCGTTGTTCGTCCACCAAGTTTGATCTCGCTTGAATGAATTTAAAGATGGCGTTGGGGAAAATACAGGCAATTCTGAATGCTGTTGTGGATGATACTTTGATAAAGATCCAGCGTCCAACAATGGATTTCTCTCAGGTCTCGATGGTGTTACATATTTGTATCTGATTTAATATCATTTCGTTACGACACTCGACGTGTGATTAATAGATAAAACAAAAAACATACAATTATTATATTTACCCATTGTGATGAGTATTATTAAACAAAGACCCGTATATTACAGTTGGTTGTCTATTAACTGGACGATGAATCGGTAAAATGGGCAAAGACTGTGAATATAAGGTAGGAGCATCCTGTCGTGGATACTCATAGCCTTGATGATAATCATGTGATGGGCTGATATGATTATTTCTTTCATTAAATGAATAGGTCTGTTCGCAATACTTTTCTTTTATTAACATTATCTAAATATCTTTTAAAAACAAACCTGTAAGCGTTCAAATTCTCATTAGACTCATCCCTCAACGCCGTACCGAAGTCAAAGCTACACTTATCGATGAGGAATTTTATTAGTTGTCTGTAACATAAAATAAAAAAAAAAAAGAAAGAACAAAAATAAGAACGCGTAGAACCCGCAACGCGAACAAAGTGAAATTAATGATATTTTTCTTTAAGTTTCTTGTTTTTGGTGTCGTTTCATTAAAATTTTATCGTTATTGTGTCACTTGAGAAATTTCACGCGTAAAAAATATTTCAGAATACAAACAAAGTTTTATAAAACTCGTAAAAGATTAAAGATCACGTTGTCGACATTACTATCTCACGTTGTATGCTAATTTCAAATTCTAATCGTTAGCGCATAAAACAAAAAAGAAAAAAAAAAGAAAAGAAATGTTTACACGCGTTCCATATTACAAACATCTATCTAATAGACTTTTAAAACAAACGGGTCAGAAAGTTGACGATTTCTTTCTGTCATTTTTATTATCGAAGAAAATAAATTTCAACGGTAAAAAAGTTGATGGATGGGGGGGGTTAATGGATGTGAATTAGAGGAAAAATTCGTCATTTTATCTACGCGCAAGACGAATTTAACATGTCGAAGATGTATGCTGTACGTACATAGATCTTTAAACTTTCTCCGTAGCCGAGAAACATCGGTTAAAGGTGTTTCCGATGTTTAATTCATAGCCGGCAGCTATAATGTATTTCTTTTCTTTTTTCTTTTTTTTTTTTTCATTCGTGACCGTTATACAACCTCGAGTATTCTTCGACTACGATTAACTGTAATCTAGAATAATTTTTATCTCTTGTCTTGTGTCTTGTCTCTCATTCTCTTTCTCTTTCTCACGATTCTAACGTCTTTCTAATAATATCATTTTAATCTTCCTAATATCTTCGAATGAATCTTTCAAATTCGCGAAATTCATGAATTCGTTACTCAATTAATATCCCAGAAATTTGTTGATATTTCTCGATTCGAATATTTCTATCTAATCGGGCTAAAAATATTCAACTTGTTCATTACACCGGTAAAGTACGATTACCCGCGTATCTTTTATTAAGAATATAGATAAATTTTTATTTACTTATATTCCCATGAAAGTAAGAAAGAGGTCGACCGGACTTACGCGCTTCTCCGAAGTAATAAGAAAGCATTGCCTTTCACTATGAATCGATCTAAGAATAGTGACCATTATTCTAAGTCGTAAAATAATCATAAGTCGTAAAAAAGTTACTTGTGGGAGTGAAAACAAAAAATATCTAAGTAAAAAAAGAAAAATAGAATTACCGATAACAGCTAGATTTTTTTTATAGATTCTGTATAATTACTTGGAAACAATAATAAAACTTTATATAGTATGACAAGTAGTTATGAAACGGATAGATTATTATCGAACGAACTGCTTGTTGGATTTTATTAAATGACATTTTTTTTAATTCAATTAGAATTGCTAATCAATTATCTGTTTAACAATCTGTAACGACGTGAAATATATTACTTAATTGAATAATCAATGTATTACGAACTAATTAATAATGTGACTGAAATAACTGCATAGAAAAAAATCGTATTGTATTCAATTAGAAAAGTATGAGAGAAGGAAAAAGAGAGTGTTACAAAATTAAGAAACTATACTTTCAAAGACTGTAATTGTAAACGCGGTTACTCAAACTATCAAACACTTTTTCCCAACCAGCTTGCTCCTATCTGTTTGACGCGTGAGATGATAATATTAGTTATCTTTAGCAATAAATCTTGAATGTAATAGTTGAAAGCAGGACATGTTCTGTCATATGTCTACGTATGGTACAAAACATCCTGAGAAATTTCGTTATGAAATTCCTTTCCGTTTTCTATCTTCGTCCATTCTTGTTGGATCTTTTACAGACTCCTTTTCGTTTACGATATTATTTTAAACAAATTAATATCTATTTATACGGAAGAGATATATAATATAAAACGAATAATCAAATATAAATACAAAATTAAGAAATCATTTCAACTTTCGATTAATAAAATACAATTGATTTATTTAAAATCAAAATATTATAATATATCGCATAATTTATATATTATAAAATAAACAAAATTAAATGAAAAATTAATCGATATTACGGTAAATTTGTATAAGGAGGTGTTATTTTGAAAAAAAAGTAATCATTTTCGTAAGAGAGGTCCGATAATTATCTTGACAGGTGTCTTGCATGACCACCGCATCAAGGCCAGGGTCATAGTCTGATGATCGTATAACAAAACTCACGGATAATATTGTGTTGTAATTTTATTATCATTGTTTCGTATTTTTCACTTCGTTTCATTTTACATAACAGTTACACGATTTTATACGTTTCTAATTGGATTTTTTTCTTTCTCTCTCTTTCTTTCACTCTTTTCCTCTATTATAATGAGAATTTCGGTGAAGGAATGAAAAGATAAAAAAAAAAAAAAAAAAGCAAATACATAAATAAAATTAAATTGAAGAATATCGAATTATGGAACCGTTTCTTCCATGACTTTCCCTTCGGGGAGGAAGATTTGACACGCACGGAAATCATTTGTATGCCACGCGAGTTTCGGAAACGTTCGTAAGAATTTCAATACCTGGAAGAGCGAGTCTGACTTAAATTTTTTTCCTATTTATTTCCTTATCCCTTCTTTTTTATTTTTTTTTTTTTTTTTCGATAATAGCATTAAACGGAAATAAGACAACGCTTCATTCGTACAATTTTAATAAAAGTCAACGGTGATATCACATCCGCTATAATACATTATCATTTTAATTTTTTATTACGAATTTGAAACGAAACATTTATATTTAAACTTACTCTTTTTATACTTACTGAGGATAATGATCCAAAGATTCGCAAAACGTTTGACCAGGTTTAGCACATCCTGGAGTATGTCCTGGAGGTGCTGGAACGAAGGGTTCATATTGTGGTCGTCCAGGACAACCGTATTCCGTACAAGGTTCACTTCGTATTCCCGCTAAAAATATCTTACGATATTTTTTTGCATTTATTACAATGAAATTAAATCATATATTAAATATAAATTATATATTATGATTAATATAGAAATGGAAAAATTATTAGACATAATTGTTACCGTATTAATGCAATAATATACGAAATGAGACCGTTGAAAAGCATATAAAAATTATATTTTCGAATTAACTATTTCTGTATATTTTATTTTATTACGTTTACTATATTTTTGTTTTGTTTTTTTGTTTTTTTTTTCTAATTCTTCATCTCGTTCATTTGCTTTAAATCGATAGAATTAATTATATACGTATACATGAATTAACATTAACATAAAAGAAATTTCGAGACGGCAAAGAAAATTGATAAGATTCATTCTTCCTGTCGATTCGAAAGTATTGTATTATACATTGATTTTAAAAGTGTCTTTTGTCGTTCACGAGGTTGTTCTACATTCACGAAACCAAGAGTGACTCAACCCGGATTCGTAGAACTAAACTCGTTCGAATCTATCGTTTTAATGGTTGCCACAGTAGACATAAATTACAAACTCATACATAATAATTACGATGTTAATAGCATTATAATTCTTTTGAAAAGCGAGCTTGTTCCAGTTAAAGATAAAAACAGCACGTGGAAAGCATTAGAGAATAAAAATAAAAAAAAAAATACAATAGGAAGAGAATGAAACGTTGCAACGATGAACAATAGAGCTAGTGATCGATGTATATATATTCTTCTATTAAGGATTATTATGTTTCCCATTGAATTTGATTAAGCGGAAATATACTTTTAATCGCAATTAATTTTTCTTCTTTTTTTTTTTTTTATGTAATTAATAGAATGAAGTTCTGATGTAACATCTTTATACAAAAGGAATGAATTCGTATTACGTTAATGATCTTTCTTTTCCTTGACTCATCGCATGACATCGTCAAAGCTATTAACAAGTTGTCGATCGTCGAATGAACGTTTAGAAAACAAGTAATGAAAAATTATTATAATTATGAGCCGTTCTCTTGTGCAAAGCAAAATATACAATAAATTATATGAGCAACTAACTCGCAATGGTTAATGTTGATCGATAGAATACAAACGTTAATATACAAAATTTATAATTAGTCATAAATAATATAATTATTTAATGAATGAATAAAATCTTAAAATACTTACAAATAGAAATAGTTGTGTTAAAATAATTCTCGTCTTTCGATCCATTATTATTTCTTCAAATTTATTCATTCTTTTCACGTCTTATAAACGTGTCGACCGAATTATAATTTTAACGATTTTTTCTTAACGATCATTTATTATATATATATATATATATATATATATATATACACACATATACATATATAATATATTCAATTATTACGAATCACATAGAATATATAATTAAATCAACGTTCACGTTTTTATCGTAGGTAACAACTCCGTTGTTATCGGTAAATAATTGCATCGAACGAAACGCACGTGTTTGACGGCTGAAATCGATGAACTATAATTGTTAAAGACAATTTACAAGATTGTTAAGCAGTTAACAACACGATTACGAATAACGTTTTTAAAACGGAATCACTTAGCCGAAATAACGAGTTGCACCGTTTAAAGAACGGTCCATCCAGAACGGACCATCCAGAACGGAAGACTATAATATAATAATTGATAACGTATTGATGATGTTAACGTCGAAATAATTGTTAATATTGAAAGAATAATATTCCCTATGATATAATGCCAATACGATCTCGATAAAACGTTCAATGACCCGTTGTCAATATCGATTAATAATAAGTGTATAAAGATTTGACTTTTCTATGTTGAGTAGTTTCTTGGTTCGGGGCCTGACGCGTTTTGTCCCGCTTCATTTTACGCGGGCCGGTCTTAGGCCGGTTAAAGTCAGTATGTCCACGCACATAGGTTTACTCATAGTCGAAGGTGGGGTAAATACGGACATATACTTTCACTACAGTCAAGAACGTGGACCAATTGAGTATATCATATGACTCACAATACTTATTACAGATTCATTAGATTTTCCTTTTTATTTATCTTATTAACACATCCTAATTAAAAGATATTTATTTATTCATTTTTTATTCATTAATTTGTTTAATTTATCTCTCGAGCGTAAACAAAATGCTTCTTCTAGGAGTCCAGTAGAATTAACAATTTGTTTGTTAAAAGTACATTCTGAAGATATTAAAATTAAATAATAGACGAGTAAGGACATCTGTGAGACTCCTATAATATAACTTTATGTGAAAAAGGATAATGTAAAGTAGGGAATTGAGTAATGTCCTGATAAATATATATTTGATTGAAATTATATATTATTTAGATTTTCTAAAAATTAAGTAATTTCTTTTAAATCATTTTTCTAGAAAAATGTTTATTATTGCAGTAAACTTATTAATAATATATTAATTATAATATAGACAGATATACAAATATCAATTTTATTTTGATTTGTATTCTTCTATTAATAATCTGATTTCATTTCCTTTTCCCTGGAATATTTGGTTGTTCAAGCAAAAACCAAATAAAAATAGTTTTTTACTCAGAAAAATATCTTTCACCTCTTAAATTGTGATAGATAATGTAAATAAAATACTCGTAAATTTTGCATAACTGCAATTCATTTTTTAAATCGTGCTTGTACGTGTATATGTATTAAATCATGTTTCCACTTGTGCTGGTGCCAATCCTAAACGATCTACTACATATTGCGGTAAACAAAAAGTTGGATTAACTTCTTTCAATGGATAATCAGTATGGAGTAACGATAACGCGGTAAGTCCGAATAAAGTATGAAAAGGATCAGGAACATTGCCAGGTCTATCGCCAAAGCCTCCAGTTTCGGTATCTTGACACGACAAAATATAATCTATCTGTTGTATAAAAAATGAAGATATTTGTATAACATTTCGTTTTAATTAATGATACCATTTTATAATAACAATTACTTACTAAACACTTTTTATTTATCCAATGAAGACGATTTAAAATTGTAAGCGTCGAGAGAACCCACCAAGAATAACATACATCTGGTAATTTTTCTGGTCTACCATTTAGACCACCCGATGGAAGTTGTCTTTCACACAACCACCAACCTAAACGATCTGCATCTACTAAGTGTAAATTTCCTAAATATAAAAAAATAACTTGTATATAAAAAATTCTATGTATATGGATATGTTTATTTATAGCATTATAATATGCATTACCCGTTATTGATAACAGCCCTACACAGCAATAAACTAAACCAGCATGACTTTCAGAACCAGGTTTAGAACCAAACCCTCCATCAAAGTTCATACACTTCATTACAAACTCTACTGCCTTGTCCACATTTATAGCATCTAAACGTTTCTAAAATTAAAAGTTATATATTTTGCATATATATGTATTGGAAAAAAAACAATTTCTAATTTAACTTTCTAACTAACTTAATTTTCAAACTATGTATTTAAATATTTCTTACCAACAGTGATAAAGTAGCAATTGCACAAAAAGAAAATCTAGTATCTATTTCACCCCAGATATCGCCGGTGAAACTACCATCCGGTTGTTGCCTTTCTTTAACGTATTTAACAATTTTTTCTGTATCAATTACATCTAACGCATCATAAAGGCATAATATTTGAACTGCGCTTAGTGTGTAAAGTAAATGCGGATCATGATTTATGCTAGCAGAAATCCCACCACTGTCACTTTGACATTGTTTGATAAATTCTAACATTTCCTCTTTATTGGTCTCATCAAGTTTTCCCATTAAATCTAATGCAGTAAGGCCCCAATAAAATCCAGAAATTCTTATATGTTCCGTCATACAATAATGCTAAAAGTTAACACGAGAGTTTAACTAATTTAATCCTAAATTAAGCTTAATTGTCAAATTAATGTATGCAACTTTCAGATCAAAATTTCAGTCACTATAGCTATTTATCTTAAATTGTCTACACAGTGGAAAATTCTAAGTACTTAGAAATAAATTTAAATAATACTTACATATTCCTCTTTATTGTTTCCAAATGCAATGAGATACTTAGCATGTTTTTCTAATAGTAATTCTGGGACAACAGGTGGTAGTTCAATATCATGTGTCAAAATCGGCTAGAAAAAAATATAAAATTACATGAATATAGAAATATAGATGTATACGTATAACCAAAATATAACAAATCTACAAACCATTTTCATATTATATTTGGTATATTTCACTTATAAGTGATATCGATGATATATTTTAATATTTAAGGCTTTTCCTTAAACAATCTCTCCAAATAGTACACTGTAAAATAGCATAGATAATATTATATAAACTCTACTAAAAAATGGACACGTATTAAAGTAAAAAAAACTATCTTACCATTTATGAGGTGTGTCTCAAGCGACCTTGTAATATAAATAATATGCTAGATACTAATTAGGAGTTATAATATATTAAAAATATCAAGAAATTTATAATCAATCCTATTAAAATAACTACAATGAATATAACATCAAGAAGGTAAACTGGTTAATGAAAGTAAGAGTATAAGGACGTCAGAAACAGATAAAATCATGAATAAACATATTTAATAAGATTATTGAAACTATAATAATTACAAAGAAATAATAAATATTGTTTAAGTAAAAAATACAGTCACTTCATTTAACGAAAATAATGATCTAAAGTTTTCACGTGTATTTGACAGAACGTTCTTCTTTTCTTAACTTATTAAAAAAGTATTAAGGTAAGTTCATCGAGCCTATATACAAGGAGGACAACCACCGTGTTATAAATGTGGGTACAATATTCACAATGAAAGGATGATTTCTATTGCCACTAGAGAGCGCGTCTAGTCGCTTGATCTGTTTTTTAAAAACAGTAATTAAAATAAAAACATCAAAGGGAACTATTAATTTCATTTGTTTATTTATAAAATCACACGTACTTAAATCGAAACTTAAGAACATTAACGCCGCCCTCGTGGATAATTATCGTACTCAATATTCAGTCATTTTCAACAACACAAATTCGACACAAACGCCTATCTCGATCGTTCTCCTTGTATATAGCTTCGTTGATGTTTCCTTCAGAGATTTATCTTAATAAAACTAACACACAAGCAAATCTTATATTAAATATTAGAAATTAAATTTGATATTATTATTACTCGATAATAAGTTCAATATTAGTTCAGGCTAGATATTAGGAGAAACAAAATCTTTTTTCCTTATTTTATAAAATATCTGTGAATGAATTTGAATTTCGCGCTACATAAGGGAATCTAGAGGGCTTCCTTGTCGCGTTATTTTAAACACTATCCTTTCTTTCTTGGTCACTTGCGTGATACATGAAAAGCTCCTAGAAGATTACCATCATAGAAAACAATTTACAAAAACATTATCTAATAACTTTTTTACATGTGTTTTAAGATGCAACAGGAAAAAAGAAAAACTTTATGGCCATCTCTAATTAATAAATTTTCAAGATAAACGAGCGGATTAAAAGTATGTATAATCTATAAGTTAGGATGTAAATTTGTTGTTGCGTGATTTCGTATTTAAATAATTACTTTTTTTCCAATGCTATACTTTTATCTAAGCTAGAATATTAATAAAATTTATACTCTATATATACTACAATATTATTATAAAATTAACACATGTTTTTAAAATTGTTTAAATGATAAGGTGTATATATATATAAATTCAAACAAATTAGTTTTTCAGCTTCATAAAATAAGATTTTATTTAGCGTGAAAAATGAAATAATATATTACGCATATATATTAAATGCACTAATAAAAATTAACATTTTTTTAATGAATTACGTAAATGATAAATCAAATAATTATGTCGTTAAAACTGTTCAGTTTCATCCTTGTGGAAAATGAAAACATCTTTCAGTAACATGTTAGGTCCATCGTAGTGGAAATTAATGGTTGGTTTATCCAAGGGGAATCCAGCAGATTTATCGTCAAATTTGTAATCACCGAAGATTCGAGACGAGTATAATTGAGGTTCATCTAATACTGGGCTGACATAGATAAACATACGTAATGGAAAACCTTCTGGTCTTCCTTTAGGGAGAAGCAACCTCTCTGGGAATCCATAAAGTCTTTTGTTGTATTTAAAGGTTTCGGAACCATCCAAAGATTTTTCGATCTTCTTATAGAAAACTTCGCTAGGTTCCGGATCAGGAGATAAGAAGTAAAAGTCTTTGCTGCTTCGGTCGATTTTGTTCATACCGGCATTTACTGTAGAAATAATCATCATATTAGTAAAAACAAAATAGAATTAGTATAAATTGTGATACTTACAATCGAGTATCCAGTTATCAATCTGATAGAAATATTTGAAGTTCTCTTCAAAGTTAAGTAATCTATGACGTGCGTCATATTTGGGTCCGAGGAAAATGCGAATAGCTACTTTGGTACTTTTTTCAGAATTAATAGTTATATGCAAATTGAATGGTTTGTGATTGAGACGATATTGTCTTGCTTTGATAATGTAGCTCTCAGCTTCTTGTTGGCTCTCAACTACCAAACCGTTGTTAAGGGATGTATCAAATTGATCGAAGAAAGTTGTCAGTTTGTCCACAGCAAAGGATTCAACTTTGAGACTTGGGAAAACAACCATATCTTTGGTATAAGGCTGTTGACGTACTTTGTATCTATTGAAGTCAATTAAAATAATTTTGTGAATGTAAATAATGAATGTGATGTTGTAATGTGATGTGACACACTTATTAACAAACAATACCTGTAGTAATAATAGATTATCCTCTTGTAAAACCGATAAAAAGCTGGATCTCTTAAAGATGTTGAACAACTTTCAAGAGCACTCGGTGTGATTTGATATGGTGTTGCGGGTTCCATGTTATATCCAAGAATCTTTCTAGCATAATAGTCTAAGCTTCCATAGAAATCGTAGTTATATGAATCCTCATTACCTTCAATTATATTTCCAAGAATATTAATACCATCTGAAGTATGAATATTGATCAATGTGGCATTTTTATCCATGACAAGGCCAGAATCGATGGCACCAGTGATACGCGATTCCATCTCTTGTACATTCTGAAAAAAATAGGAAAATGACCCATCTAAATTTTATATAATCTATTGTACAAATACAATTACTTAGAAATAGTATATTTTGTATAAATTAAATGATAGATACCTTGATATATTTGTACTTGTAATATGGGAATATACTGAAGCGTGGACGTTGTACGAATGGCAACCCATTGTGAAAATTCATGGTTGGATAATATCCAGGATAGAATTTTTGGGTCCATTCAAAATCTTCTACCTTCTCAAGACCATTTGATAAACGTTCTAAGTGGTAACGTGCCATAAGTTGTTTATGTCCGTATAAGTATTCTTCCCCACGATATTTCGGGAGTTTAAATTCTTCGCCTTTCATCCAGAAGGGGTATTGATGTCTGAAGTAGAAGTAATACAAGTTCAAGCCAATATCTTCAGTGAAGTAATTTAATTTGATCTCTTGATCATATTCGTGATTAATATACCAGCCAGAATAGTTCGCTGGAATAATGTATGTGTCACATCCAGCTGACTTTTGCGAATCTGGAATATTAGTAATAAAAATATATTCTTTACTGACAATAAATTATGAATTTTATCTAAAAACTTGTGTAAATTTAATCATATTTGAAATTTATTATTATCTACATAATAATAAGCTTTTATGTTATTTTGTATTTTTTAACGAAACCAGTTTTTCTACAAAATTCTAAATAACGTAATTTTGAAGATCTGTTTTTCTTACCTAGTTTACCAAAGATCTTTGCGTGATTTGCCTTCTGAAGAACTTCAGAATTGAAAAATATATACGGATAAAGCTCATACGTAGGTGGAAGTTGAATATACATAGTATCTGGACGTTGAATGACAGCATTGTAAAAAGCATAAATGAATTGACCTTCACTTATGTAAATACGAGCCCATAATGCTGTTTTGTAGAAGACATCAAAATCTTTGGCATAATAGAATATATGGAACAAAGCTATCGATTCTTTTAGAATTTTAGGATAATAGATTGAGAAAACACTGCCACGTGGTAACATTCCATGCTTGTATAGGTATAGGAATTCTTTCACAGCATCCTGAAAATATTTCATAATTATACCCATTATTATATATAATCAATAGATTCATATAATTGCAAAATTATTAATTTATTACCAATTATTTAGCTTTATATTTATAATACGTTAGATTAAAAACTTCACAGTCACACATGATTATTTGGAATTCATAATATACAAGATATAGTTTAAATATGATCTTATTTTTAGAATCAATTACATACTTGATTGGTGTAGGAATCGATGTTAGCTTCGATACTAAATTGTTTACCCTCGTTAAATAAATCAGGATTGACGATGTCTGGTTGGGAAACGTGATACAAGAGATTGTATATCTTCTTTTGTTTTAATAAAAACTCTTTGTCAGCCGTTTGAACTGTGTAATATTCAGCAGAGACAAGGCAGAAGGCCAGAACGGCCAAAACTACCAAGTTCCTGTACATGATTAGTTTAACAGACTGTCAGAGTAACCGGCTGTCTTTCCTCCACCAATTCTATGCACAATTACAGAATTCATCCATATTTATAGTATCATCACTTCCTAATCAACATGGCTCAGGTCATAAGGGCGACTCGTATATTTTGCAAAGAAAAACGCACAAAAATGATACAGGGTATTAACAATCATGTTTACCAGTGATTACTCCAGCTGAGATTTGTTAATGGTGCAATTATTTATACCTTTTTTCTGCATGCTATCGCAAATTATCTATTAAACTAATACTAGTTTGCTCTTCTTATGTTATTTTTTAAGTAAAAATTGAGGAATAATATTTATATTAAAAAATTATATCTTTTGAACTAGTATTGTTAAATTAAAAAAAAAAAAATTTCTCATAGAGTCACCTATAAATAAAGCAAAACAAAATAAGTGCGGGCACTTATTAATTTAACTTTTTTTATTATTAATTTTTAAATTTTAAGTTGTGTTTAAATGATTTCATAATTACCCAAAAGTGG